AAATGGTGTTATAATGGGTAAATTTAGAAGAATAATTAAATCATATAACACAAGAGCCTCTGAATTAAAATGATGTTTTCTAACAATGTGGTTAGCAATTTTACAAATAAGAAATATCCTGTCTCTAAGGTTCAAGAACTACTTGGTGAAATGGTGGAAAATCTGATGGATGACTACATAATACATGTGCCTCAAGACATGTATCCTTGCACTGTATAATATTCTTTAGAGCTAATCAAAGTAATACTCGGCATTCTACTGTCACTTTCAAAATTTCAGCAGATTACTTTCAAAGCCTATTGTATGTCCAATTGTGTTTTAATGGTAGCTTCCCGCACTGTTTTGGTTTCCTCTGGATTGTACAATTGAATATCAATCAAATGAGAACAATAATTGTAGGAAAAACTGCAGACCTATCTATCCAATGCAACATATTTCCTTAGTGGGAGATAGACCAAAGTCAAAACCTAATTCACATTGTTACTGTATTTTCATCATCTCAGAGGTTGTTTTCAATGTTTCTTCCCCCCATCCAAGAGCCAGCTTGCCCTGGCTTTGTAATCTGAATTTCACAAAATCAAGAGATAAAATATATCTGGAAGTCTTGATGAGCACATGATGATTAAAGAAGGGCCCAAACCAGAACCTCAAATCCAAATACCCCCAAAATTACATTAGTCAGTTAGGCCCCTACATTCATGTGATGTTTATTTGACACAAGTGAACAGACATTGGGCCAAAACCACAGTACAACCCCACTGTCTTCAATGGTGCAAATGTGGGCCGAATTTATCTCATTGTGGTGCCGGAACTGGCTATGTGAGCTCATAACTGGGTATACGGCAGTAAACTGAAACACACAATGCAATCAGAATTTTTGGAACCTCAGCAAAACATGGCTTTGGGCAGGTTGTAAACGTTTTATCATTTCTGCCTGCTTATTCCATGACAACTTCCAGACAACCAGAGTGTGAAAAGGATAAACGAGTCAAGATACTTGAGGAAATGTCATTTGAAAGAGCAGTTCAGCTCATCATGGAGCAGTTGGTTTTGGAGGTCAGTATTTTTGGATCATTTTGTGCCTAGCTCTCACCTATCTTATGTAAGCAAAGCAGCTTGTCTTTTAGTCAAGAATCTGCTTATTGAAGGGATCACCTTTGGTCCTGGGGATGGGGAGGGCTGAAGAGAGTTTAGTAGAAATCGGCATTAAACTTTCACAAAATATACAAAGCTCTCTTTCTGTTCTGAGACAGTATGTTTATTTTCCACTGCCATAAATGCATACACAAATAATTCCTTCTTAGTCTGACTCTTCTATTTTATTGGCCTGTATTTTTTCCCCCTGTTTCTTAAATTTCCAGTTTTCATTACTGTGGTATCTGAAAGCCAAATACAGTAGTTAAACTGAAATTGATGTATATTCTTTAACCCCTGGTTGTTTTATAACTATTTTCACATTACCAAGTATATCACAAGCCTATAAACTAACCACTACAAAGGTCTTCTGCAAGGGTCTCTTGTATGCACCTGTATAGAAACATACAAAGAAGCAAAACCTTTAGTTTTGACTGTGTATATTCAGTATAAACCTATGTTTTTACACGCTAGCACATTAGGTAGGTCACTTTCATTAGTTATCTTTTTAACAAAAGCAGCAGCTGTTGCAGGTTCTGCAACTAGAAGAAAAGCAGTGAGGGCCAAATCCTGAACCCCACATTAAACTCAAGTGAAGGGGATTAAGGCAACAGGGTTCCATGGCAGTTGGGCTGGATGTAATCCTTGGATTCAGACCATTGAGGTGCAGGGATGGTACCTCTAAAAGTACATTGCATTAGCATGTCTTCTTACAAGAACATCAATATTACATGTATTAATTCATTCCACCTCAGATCTGGGAGGTAGGTGAGTATTTGATAGATGGTGAAACTGGAGCAGGCAGAATAAATTACTTGCTCAGGGTCACAGAATGAGTTAGTGACGGACAGCAATAGAACCCAGAACTCCTATATTCCAGAACTATTTATTTTTAAACTATTTCTTTATTTAGAAAGTTTTAACAGGCTTAGAAATCCTAGTCACATAAATATTATAGAGAAGAGTGAACTTTTGTACAGAGAAACATTATAGAGTAATATAATAATTGGATCTTCCTATTTCACAGTATTACCATGTTAAACAGAGAGCATCTTTACACTGCCCACATCATTTCTAGTGATTTTATTAAATTACCAAGACTATGGACCTGATCTTGCTCCCACTGAAACCAATGACAAACTTTCAATTGATTTCAGTGGGAGCAGCATTAAGTTCAAGACACTAACAAAAATGTGAGCTTCACCAAAATGCTGGTTTGGTTTAAAATATTATAGAATCACAAGTTAACATTCAATTATAGTCAGAAAGGCAATTCTTTAGAAAATATTTTGGATTCTATATTTATTCTATCTCAATTATTTTCATGTCAAATTTTGCAGAGTTTAAAAGTCAAAAGATTATTTTTTCTTAAGTGCAGACTCAACCTTGGATCTTTTTTGTCTCTTGCAAATGAAACCTGACTGCAGACAATTCCTTGTTTATTCTAGTGATGACTTGATAATAGAATGAAAGCTATTAAACTAAAGGATATCTTTTTAGATTCTCATTGTATCTCAGTTGAGTGCAGGCAAAATCAAATAGTTTTTCAAGGAAAATTGAGTGAGGGAAATAAAAGAGTGTCTTAATAGTATAGGTAAGAGAAGTTTTAATCTCTGCAATGAAATAATTATGTTGGAAGCCTATAAGAAGATATAATATTTTGTGCCAGCACTTTCATTATAAACTCCTAAAATCAGAAGTGTATAACCTGAACACAAACTAAAACGCTTTTGTTGAAACTTGCTATAGAAAATCTCAACCAAGATTAAATGTTTAACAAACATTGGCAGTGTCATCTAGTGGTTAGAGTAAGGAATTGGTAAAGCCCTACCAAATGTGCGGCCGTAAAAGTATACAAAAGAACACAGCATTTCTCAAACTGGGGATCACAACCCGAAAGGAGGTTGCAAGCCTATTGTAGGGGGGTTGCGGTATTGCCACCCTTACTTCTGCGCTGCCTTCAGAACTGGGTGCCCGGCTGCCCAGCTCTGAAGGCAGCGCAGAAGTAAGGGCAGCTTGGTATGATCACATCCATAAATTTGCTATTTATGCCATGACCAACCCACGAAAAATGTATGATTTCTCCACGACTTAAGTAGACCTCTAGGAATTAGGAGTCGAGACTTCAGTTCTATTCCCAGAACTGAGACTGAGTTACTGTGTGCTATAAAGCTGATCACTTAAGTGCCTTGTGTCTCCATTTTCTATCTGTAAAATGAGAACCAAATGCTTAAGTGCCTTTGTAAAGTGCTTTGAGATCCTCAGATGAAAGGCTTTGTGTAAAGTGTCAAGTATTATTGTTATATCATCAAAATGTACTGGTGCTCTAGCAAAACAGAACCTCACTTGGTTTCCAATACCTGTACTGGCTCTGGAGTAGTAAGAACTTATTTTTGTCCATCAAGTAAGCAGCAAAGACACAGGGAACAATATACAGTATGTATTGAAGCATAAGCTTCCATGGGTGAATACCCACTTTGTCAGATGCGTCTGACAAAGTGGGTATTCACTCATGAAAGCTTATGCTCCAACACGTCTGTTAGTCTATAAGGTGCCACCGGACTCTTTGTTGCTTTTTACAGATCCAGACTAACACAGCTACCCCTCTGATACATAACATACAGTATGTTGATTATGAGACTATTCCTCTTACCAAGTTGGTTTTCAGGTCATAACTATATTTTACATAAAATAAAATAGTTTAATATAAATGTGTATATTGTTGAGAGGGACATCTCATTGTTTAAAAAAGGTTAAAATTGCGGCTGAACTTGGATTAAACCTGTCTTTGTACAATCCAGGAAGGACACTGCAAAATGAATGAATAAATAAAAATAGTTATAAAAATTATTCAGTTTGCTTAAATCTGAATGCTGTATTAGGAAGATTGCTGTTAGCAGTGATAGTTGAGATGATGTCAGTACATGCACCCTCTTATTTTATCATTAGTATATTTTTTCATACAATCCTAAATGTTGCTGTCCTACGAAAATACACAGCACTGTCATCTATGCTGTTGTAGCACCCATAGTGCAAACACGGCCTCTGTTTGTTGGCAATTCTGTATATGTATCCTGGTTTTTCTGTCAGACACATCTTATGGCATGTACAGTAATAGCTTAATGCAGTATCTTGTTAAAAATAACTTTGTTTCATTCCGACGCACAAGCATTGCATTCACATACCATAGGTATTACCAGGTAATAACGTTTTGGCTTTTAAAATACTGTTTCTGAGTTTGTCATCCCACTCCAAAGCATGTAATTCTTCTGGATAAATATGTTTCTGATTTGTGATGGTATCCCTGGTGACAGTTGCTATAGTGCTTCCCAGGATTTCATTTCTGCTCATTCTTCAAAAGTAAATCTTTGGATATCTCTGTGGGAGGCTCTGAGTTCCACTAACCTCAGATTTTATTGACTTTACTATTCTGCCCCCACTCAGGAATAATCTTCCTATATATGTCATTATCATCTCTTTCATCTTGTTGCCATCTAGTTTATCCAAAATGCTTTTACCATAACAGTCTCTCTCTCTCCTGATCTAGGACCATATCACATGCCCGTTCAAATTCCTTTACTGGTCCCTGCTTGCTTTATCTCATGTTCAGGCTACTCTCCCTTAAAACACCATAAGGCCTTTCCAGTCAAGTCCCACCAAATACTGAATTTGAAATTTATTTAATCGATATTAAATAAAACATTTAAAAATACCAAGTAACCAACCAACAAAAAATGTGATATTAATTTCCTCAAGTGATCTGCTCTATGCCCCCTGCAAGACCAGTTCACCGCTCACTGTGTATACAGATGGCAAGCAGGTGCTTGGGGCGGCCACTCCGGAGAGGGGCGGCAGGTCTAGCTATTCAGCGGCAATTCGGCGGACGGTCCCTCACTCCCGCTCGGAGCAAAGGACCTTCCTGCCGAATTGCCACTGCAGATCGCAATCTCAGCTTTTTAAATTTTTTTTTCTGGCTGCTTGGGGCGGCCAAAACCCTGGAGCCGGCCCTGTTCCCAACCCTCTTTACCTTTTCCTACTCAACAAGGTCTTTTCTAATTTTTGTTGTTGTGCTCTTGATCTAACTCCTGCAGCCCAATTGCTGATGGAACTACTGGTATAAGGTCTAACCACACAGAGCCAAGTCTGCCACACTTACTCATGTTGAGTATGAATAGTACCTTGCCCCATGACTTAGTCCCACTGAAATTAAAGTTGCAGAATCACTGCAACCGTGGCAGAATCTGGCCCATAAGAGTTTGTAGGATCAGAGTCATGTTAACTCTCTAATCTATATAAAATGCCAATTACCAGCATTTTAGGGCCAGGACAGGATTCCTCTACTCACAGTGAATATACCATACTCCACAGAGTAGTCTTTTTATCTGAGTGTAATAGTCAATGCACCCCTGGTGCGCTATATAAATTATCCTCTTGTTCAGGGCAAGGTTTGAATATTTGAAGTGATTGAAAAAGAGACAAAAATTATTCCCATAATTTCACAACTGAATTTCTGAAACTGTTTAACCAAGAGCAAAGAACAAATCTACAGTACTATGAAAAAAGGGGCAGAGAAAGAAGATTAAGGTTGGGATAGAAGTTAATGAAGATGAGGAAACTCTCAGTCATGGTTGGGCACAGCAGGAGAAGCCTATATGTGGAAAAGCTACGCAATAACAGTTTACAACTACTTTTGGGGAAAGACACTGACTTTAGGCACAGCCCTGAGCAAGGGTGGTGCACAAATTGCACCACTTTAGGAGCAGCCCTGGGAGGCATTGTGCCTCAACTGATTCACTATATCTCCCCTGGTTCCTCCTTTCTCAAGGGAGGCAAGATGAAACAGCAGTGGGGTTTACTGCTTGCTTAGGTGTGTTGCCCAGCAACTACAGACGTTGCCTATTTCCCACCACCTCATCCACCTG